ACGTATGAACCCCCTGGGTCCACATCTATTATTGATGCTGCTCAGCTAGATGCGGAGAGTCAAGGGGCATGCTTTTAGCAGCAGTCCAGCCAAAGACGAGCAGCGAGTGCACACAGATAGATAGATAGATAGATAGATACATAGATAGATAGATAGATAGAAACCCTAAAGAAAATTATAAAATTACAGCATCTTACATCCAGCTATCCATCAAAATTTACAGAATTTACAAGACTATTATATAAGACTTAAACCTCACAGTCACTTCAACGCAACTGGTTATTTAGTAGGCTGCAACAATTAGTCAATAAAAACAGGGGCTCTCGAGTGGTGCAACCATCTAAGTGTCGGCCCTACAGTTGCAACTTCAATCCCGGGTGTTGGCACAGCCATCCATGGCTGGAAGTGACCTATCTCTCTCTGGATAGGTAGGACGGATCCCCCTGTCCTCCCATTGGTCAGTGTGATGCTAGCAAATGGCAGCATCTGTTAGCTGACGTAACAGAATTGGCCGTTACCACTCTCCTCTAAACACGGCTGTCCAGTGATGCATTAGGGGCAGTTTGAAAGCAAACTGCAAAGGAGGAAGCATGTGCAAGCTCTTTCCCTCCCAGCTTAGTAGCATCATGCCATAGGGGAGACCTAGCTAGCAGACAGAATTGGCCATGACTAAAATCCTCAAAAGTGCTCTTACAGATTGCACCACACAAAGCACTGAGGGTGATATTGGCTTCTACTGTACCATAAAAGAATGAATTGTTAGTTGATTAACAAGCAGTGAAAAAATGGACAAAACAGCCCAGAGATTGATTTTTCAACTGCCAAAATGGTCAAGCGGTCTAAGGTTTCAGACTTAAGGCTTAAGATTTTGTACCTTCCCAAATGAAGGTTTCTGGTCTCCACATGGAGACGTTCAGATCCAACTTCTGATAACTTTTTTGAGATGGGGCAAAAGTTGTATTGGGTGAAACGATTCATGATTCGTGGAAGAAAGTCAGATTGCTTTGATTGGTATAGTGTAGTGGGGCAACTGCAGACTTGAGTTCGATCCCCTGCCTAGGCAAGCACGCTGCGCTATACCAATAAGAATCCTTACACAACCAAATTGTAAGATGCTCTGGATTAGAGCGTCTGCCAAAAGTAAAATGTCAGCCCTAAAATTTACACACAGAATAAATTTAGGTGGTCATCAATGAGATTTTAAAATGTGTAAGTGGATAACACACATATAATAACAGATACAGATAATAACAGATAATATAACGTGCAGAACAACACTATGTGTAACCAAAGAAGTACTAGATCATTGCAGACTGTCTAAAGTGCCCATGTTAGAGAGATGAGACCTATATAAAGTGTCCAAAAGTATCCATACAGAATCCAAGCAGAGCTCATTTGGCTTAGCCTCCAGCCTCATTTGTAAAATATCCCCATCACAGAGCCACTCAGATAAATATATGCTGTTCTCAGGTTTGTCTTTCGGCCGCATCGCTTGTTACAGGAAGTTGTTCCAGTATCAAGTATTCACATCTCCCTGTGTTCTCATCAATGATGCCTCGCCTGCGTCCTTGAAGCATCCGCGAGTGCAATAAGGGCCTAGCAAATGCATAGGCAAAGTTCCACTAATACAGAATTCCTGTCTGCTGCAGAACGTCTCGCTCTGTAACACACAGATAAAAGACTGCTTATCCTCAGTTCGCATGGATAATTCATGCACCTGCCAGGTAGTTTGAAACAGCCTCGTACAGCCGTCCCAAAACGAGCGAGCTTCACTGCACATCGCTGTGTGGTTTCATGATTTGCAGGATGGTTATACGGTCAGAAAGGGCCTACATGTGAAATAGAGCGGGGGTGTATTGTCAGACGAATGCATGGCAAAGCCAGGCCTGGGTGATGGACATTACAGGTTTAGGTTATTTGCACTTCAGGGCCTTCTAGGCCTTTAGAGAAGGCTGGAAACTGAAAAATTAGTTCATTTTTATGGAATTCTTGTACATTTTTACATCATTCTTGTTGTATTTTGTCTCAAGTGCAAGTAAAACTGGAAGTATTGTATTAATTCTACGTTATAGTCACATTATAACAATATTTCTTTTAACCTTCCCATTGATGAGGACTTCAGGAGGTGAACTGAAGGCCTTACACATTGTATTAACTGCCATCATAATTAGGAAGTAACAGTGGGACCGATTTCATAAGAGAGGTAAAGCTGCAACATATGATGTATAATATAGGTTAATATCTGTTGGAGGCTACATCTTTTACAAGCTTCACGTAGCCAGGTTTAATGTAGAACAGTCAAAATGTTGCACCAGCAATAGCTTAATGCTTCCATACTATTAGAAACCACATAGAGGTGCTAGCAGAAATCAGCACTATCTTGTTTTTTGACTGAGATTCGACATTTATAGCTCGAACTGAAAGCCTGGTATCTGTTTGTACAAAGACTTTGTGTAACACAGACTCTCCCTGCAGCCTGAACTGCAGTGTGTCAGAAGAAATATCGTGGTTATGTTTGAATTAAACCAGCCAAACAGACGTTAGAGTTCAATAGTAACAATAGCTGTTTTTCTGCTGTGCAAGAGATTCTGTGTTTAAGAGGGATTCGGTGCTTTAGGATGTCTTTTTCTTCACCATACATGTTTGATGTTCCATTACAAAAATGAGTCACTTAAAGACATATTGAGTCCTATCAATAGTGTGGACAAGAGGCTAGCCAAAGGCCTTCCTGTCTGCAGTGCAAAAGACTTTTTTCAATGTATTACATTTTAGCAGCGCTTATCAGTGGGTTTGGTTTGAAACAGTCACCTCGAAGAAAACCCTTTGATTTATGTTCATATGCAAATGTTTAGCTGTTGGAAAAAAAAATACATTTTCTAACGAAATGAAAAGCGAAGCTTATCGGCATACTGCAGACGCCAGGGAAAATTTGCAGAGGCCCCTTATTTACTCATAGAAGAGAATAGGAAACGTGAGCGTGAGCTGTAGATGCGTTCCGTCATGTTTCTGAAGTTAAGAGAATGGAGTTGCCACTGCTGTAATTTGCACTGATGACATAAAGGAATGAGCCAGAAGGGTTCCCCCCAGCCCACAGCGCTCCTGCGACCCCGCTGCCAAAGTGCTTTTACTGCAACATGCGGAACGGAACACTTTAATATCCAAACTGGCCACTGTGACTGGAGAACAATATTGTTAGACCGTTAGAAAAGAAACTGCTGAGTAGGCAGTCAGTGAGCCATAGACGCTCTCGCTCTCTCTAACTCTCTCTAACTCTCTCTAACTCTCTCTCACCCTCTTTTGCTCTCTCTCCACTGAGTTATTTCTCACTTTAATGAATCCCCCTGCACAAAGGAAGGCTAAAGGTTTATTTTCTTAAGCAAGGAGCTCGTTTCCAGTGCAATAGCGTGGAGCGAGCAGACCATCCGACAAAAGCATAACCTGCATGGGTAAATACCTCACCTTAGCTCTTAGCGAGAGTAATGAAAATTCCTGGGATGTTTTATTTCCCTCCCAGAGAGACGCGGCGAGGGCAGAGTGGGTCGCGGCTCGGTAGAAGTCACCCCGCAGGTGTGATCGATCATTCACTGCGCTGACCTCTCTGCAGCAGGTGTGCTTGTTGACACTCCCAGTGAAGCCGACTGCACTGGCGCAAGCTAGTTTGACAGGCAAGGTGTTAATGTGCCAGGCGGTTTTACAGCGGCTTCAGCTGTGGCTGCCAATACTTCTTTACACTATTATGCGACGTATCCATTGACTCTGGCCTACAGCTTTGGCTTCCACTGCTCTCCCACACATCCACAGGCAGGATTAGGATGGCAAATTGTTTGACAATTGGCAAATAGGTATCATCTTTAAAGCAAACTAACAGGTGATGTTTAAAGCCAGCCAAGTTTTTTTTTTCTTGTCTAGTGTTGTGTTCCAAAATGAGCTCAGTCACTTAACAAGCAAACAATCAGGTGTGGCATAAGAATCCCTCACCTTTAAACAATCTGTCTTTCAACTCAAGCCATGTGGACCCACTGCCCTGCACTGTTTAAACAGTCCTCTACTCCAAATCACCTGATCTAACACCTGAGGGTTTGATAATTAGCTGATGTGCTGGGGTTCAGAATACTTGAAACCATGCAACACAGTGGGTACATAGGACCGGAGCTGGGAATCACTGGATTATTCCATCCGTTTATCAGGAATTGCAATGTAAATGTCACAGAGAGGCTTCTTTGAATGATGCCATAGAATAACCTCTTTTGGTCCCATAAGGAACCAGGTTTGAAAACTATTTGAGCATAAAGTAAATGTTCTTAAAAAATGTTCTTCACATTGACACATCTCATTTACAAAAATGGTTCTCTAAAGAATCGTCCTTTGAACGATTTTTGGAGAACCAAAATTGGCTCTTCAGTGGCAGGGATGCCCAGTCCTGGTCCTGGAGATCTACCCACTGGACAGTACAGATCCAAAACCCTTGGCTCTAATATGCAGAAGCCTCTTTAAAGTCTTCATTTCCTGGATAAGGTGTGTTAGAATAGGGCTGGAGCTTAACTTTGCAGGGTGGTAGATCTGCAGGACCAGGATTGGGTACACCTGTTCTATGATGTCGCTCAAAGAGCCACTCTGTAGCACCTTTTCAGAGTGTAGGGGTGTAAAAATGCATCAGTGCATCATAATCCATCGATCTGAAGGTGGCAATTTAAGTGAATCAATACTGGAATGTTCAAAACCATTATAATCTGTTTTGACAGTGTTCAGTAACGCATGTGCTCATGTGGCCAAACTAAAATTCTTTGCCTATTTTCAAATGTAAAAAATGTGAGAACGCAATGTCTGGTGTGTATTCAGTGTATCTTTAAAATTAATTTTGAATCGAACCAAAACAAATCAAATCTTGGTGAAATTTGAGATTTCATTAAATGTTTGAATCATTGTGAGGTTGGAGATTGACATTCCTGGTCACTACAGTTACCTTTGTTTGACCGTATACCCCCTTCTCTTCCCTGCAGACGTGTCTGGAGCTGGAGCGGTACCTTCAGACAGAGCCCAAGAGGTTCTCTGACCTCTTTGATGAGGAGCTGGACTGCCTCCTGACGCCAGCATTCATGAAAAGGGACAGTGATGAGGACCTGATGGACCCTCTGCTGCCCAGCCTAGCTGACCAGCCTAGTCCACCACCACCTCTGCTTGTGTCCCTACCCAAGAGCCTCCACGCCCCAGCCAGTGGAAAGCCAGCAGACGCAGGGGGTAAAGAAGGTAATGGGGGTGTGAATCCAGCACAGCTGAGTGCCGTCACCTCCCTCACACCACCCTCCTCCCCCGAGCTGGGTCGGCACCTGGTCAAGCCCACGCAGACTCTGAGCGCCACAGCCGACGGCACACTCACGCTCAAGCTGGTGGCCAAGAAAGTGGGTTTGGGTGCAGCTAAGTTAGTGGCGACACACTCGCTACCCTCACCGCCTAGCCGGGGTGCACAGAGTGATGGAGAGGGAGGCGTGGGGTCGGTGGGGGTCAGCGACATTCCGGAGAACAAGAAGAGGGTCCATCGCTGCCAGTTCAATGGCTGCAGGAAGGTTTACACAAAGAGCTCCCACTTGAAGGCACACCAGAGGACGCACACAGGTGAGACTGACCTTTCTCTTGAATCAGGCAATGCTAAAAAAGCATAGTAGATAACACAGCTGCCCTGCATACGAAAGATTTAAGGTTTGATTCCCCTTCCAGGCCGAAATGCCACTGCTATAGCGATAAGAGTCCTTGACTTCTAATGTAATGTTCACCTACTTTTGTACGTTACCCTGGATAGCAGTGTCTGCTAAGTGCAAATCATGAGTTTGGGTCAATTTTATTGGCTTCTATTAGGAATGCCAAGCTCCGTTCCCCTGGTTACAAGTGACAAACTTTGGTAATGAAGAAATACATGCTAAATCAGGTGTACAACAGTGTAGGCCCTCACAGATTTGATGCAGCAAGGTGTATCTTAGCAACACTGCTCAGAATACTACAGTCTTCTCCCACCTCAGTCTCCAACAGCAGCACCATTCAAAACCTGTCAGCGTGGTCAGTAATTGCAAGATGATTGATAGAGCGGCTGCACTAAATCTCATTTCTTGGCTAATTCAGCCACGTCCACCTCTGGAGCCGCTGCCCCTGCCCTCTTGCTGAACCCTGAGAGTGAGTGGCGCTCCATCGTAGCCCTGAGTCCTGCTGCGATGATGGCCTCGCTGCAGCTAATCTGGCTCCTGAGGCCCGCTGTTGACTCGGCAGGTTCCCGCGAGCGGTAGCGATGCTAATCACTCTCACACTGATGCTAGTGCACGGGCAGCACTCTTGCTTTTGAAGAGTGAGAGAGAAAGTGGAAAAAAAATAATGACGGGGGGGAAAGAAAGAGAGAAATTAAAAAGCCTGAAGACACACTGCTGCGTGCTAGCTCAGCACCCGATATGTTCATTACAAGCCGGATTCCGTGATGTAATTAGCTTAATCCTCTTTCTTCGGTTATTATTTCAATAGATTACTGACACAGAGAGATTAAGATTACTGCAAGACTTACTGCAGGGGAGCTTACTCGGAGATCACGAAGGCCCTGTCTTGGCTTTGTCAACAATGCTACAATGCAAAGTTAGTGATTTATCTCCTCGAATACAATACGAGGGGAAGAGGGGGTCTGAGACATAGTTCTGAAAAGCAACACGCGCTGGACAAACCACGAGAGAGCAGGAAAAGCAGGCCCTGTAATTGGATCGCGACTGAAATTCAAACCTCAGAGATCATAGTAGCTCACTCTCTCTATCTCCAGTTGACTGAAGCAATGTAATTAACTGTGGCATATGCACCTAGGCCACTGGTGGGAGTGCAGCGGGGGGCTGTTGATTAGGAGGGGGGTAAGTTGCTAGGAAACCGTTATCAGGGACAGAAGAAAGGCACTAATAGGCTGATTATTTGCAGCTCTGGACACCAGTTAACGGCTACAGTGTGCCAATCCAACCAGCACTCGTCCTCCAGCCAAGGGTCCAGCGGCCCACCCCCACTCCCCTCTGTAGGTTTGAGTTGCCAGGCAACTACATCACTCTCATCTAAAGCGAACAATAATTGGCTGGTGCTGCAGAGTGTCCCTCCGTTGCATACTGCAACTGCACCCTTACTTTCTCTCTCTGTCTCTCGCTCGCTGTCTCTCTCTGACCGGTTGCTAGGCGACTCCATCATGCATCCGTGCCTCCCCAAGTTATAATTGGCTGGCGTTGCAGTTGCCGTGGTTGCAGGTCCAAGCCTGCCTGTCTAAAAGAGGGAGAGAGGAGAGAAAGGGCCATGACAGAAGGAGGGAGAGGGTGCATGGAATAGGCGGGTGCTGTGCGGGGGGGGGTCTCTGGCCAATTACCCAGAGTGCAGTGTGAAACGTTTGCTGTCTCACACCTGCGGCCCCACCACTTTGCAAATGACAGAGCAAGGGAGGGTTCCTGTCCTGTTCCGCCCATTTGCGTGGATATAAGAGTACACGTTGGGGATATTATTTACCCCTGATTTCATAAAGCAGGGAGGCTCAAGGACGAGCAAATCCAATAAAAGCACAAAGCAGGAGACGACACTCAGACCTGCTATCGCTGTGCCTGTGCGGAACAGTCAAAACGACGTCCTGTTTATTGCATGCGCTGTTCTCTGAGGAGCGAAAGAACAAGTGCAAGCAGTTTAGTCGAAATAATGGAAGTGTGGTCTTCTCCCTTTGTCGTCCGTAATCCTCAAAGAGAAACATGGACCGAGGGAAGCAAAGGAAAGGATGGTAGGAGTTACATCACACGGCTTGCCTTTGTCATCCGTGCTGTGTCATCCTTTACATTTCGTTTCATCATCACAGGCTTCCATGACTGGAAGACCAGCAAATCCACAGTATTCCTGCAGATTATGTAAACCTTGGCCTTTTTTTACCTCGCATTGCATCATATTAAAAATGAGAAATGTTCTCTTGACCAAATAAACAAGTACACAAATTTGAGGGCTTCCCAGACATACCAGACATCCTCCGCATGTCTTGGTGCCAACAAGTCATGGTTCAGCCAAAGATCACGTTAAGACTTTTTTCCCTGGAGTCGACCAGCCAAGACATGCTCGGTCTCTGAAGTTTGCTTCATTAGTTGAGCTACAAGGTAAATGTAGCTAACAAGTAATGGAAGCGTCTGCTGCGTTTACATGTTGTGGTTGAAAAAAACGTTATTCCGTGCCTCGGTATGTGACCACTTGCAGCGTGAAGCCACGCAAACATCAGCAGTAAATATGGATGATTATCAGAGGAGAGCTTGAGCAGTGTAAGGTGGAAAAAGTCAGGAGGCTATTGTGTACTCCTTTATTTTCTGTTGTATCGTACTGGGTTCACCCAGACTTCAACAATGAGTGCATTTACATGCACTCAATAATCCGATCATAATCAGATTTCTGCAGTTATCTGATTATTCAAATGGTCATGTAAACAGCACACTCTGATTTTTTAACATCGGATTAAGGTCTAGAAATCCAATGAAGAAATCTAATGAAGAGGCAGGATTTTAGCTCAGTAATCAGATTTCTCAGTGCATGTGGACTCTTACTCTGATTTCTTTCGGATTGCTCAGTCTGCACATGTGCAAAAACAGACTGCGGTACCGGAAGTAAGCGAGCAGCGTTGCCGTGAGATGCAGCAAAACACTTTTGGATCGACGCTGAAACCAAACACATGCTTGATGAAATGAAGGATTTAAATATTCTTCATCTTCTAGATGATGTATGTTCATATTTTAGGTAAAGTGGTGCGATGTTTAAAACAAAGCCGCAGCATGAAGTTTGAGTTTCACGTTACGTTTACGTCATGCTGTCTTCTGTAAGTTTATTGGCTGGTTGCAAAGCAGAAATCATCTTGCATCCGGTGTTTAGTTTTGATGCGAAAAAATTGCAGCCAAATATTTTGCAATGTTTATATATCGCTGTTGTCGGGACAAAACATCTCCATTTTTGTCATTTTTAGTTTTTGACATAATTTGAAAATGCCTGTTCTTCTTTACATTGTATGTAAATTTCATGATGAATTGACCCAAAAAAAAGGGCCCAAAATGACTTGGAAAAAATTTTGGTTCCATAGAATAACACTGAAAGTAAAGCATGTTTTTTTTCTTCTATTGTACAGTTATTATTTTGGAGATGTGAGGTTTTGTTCCGACAACAGCGACATATTGCATTTGATGTGCATGATATACTATTATCTATAGAAATGTAAAAATGTAAAGTTTGGACACACCTTGGTTTTCTTTTTTACTTTTTTACTATTTAACAATCATAACAGGCATTAAACTTATGTGATGGTTCATAAGAAACTACTCCAGTCATAAATATTGGCCTAAATACAGCTGAACAGGACTAAATGGGGCTATTAGACCCTGCCCTTTTTCATCACAACACATCTGATTGGCTGAAATTTATTGATGATTACAGTCATTCCATAAGTTCTAACAAGAAATAATTATGATAAAATAATGATTGTGCTTCCAAATCTAACCAACTGTAAATTTTGCAGGGAAATTATTTGCTTCAAAGTAGTTTATTTTGATTTTTTGACATTTTGTATATAAATATATCGCTGCTGTCGGAAGAAAACCTCGCATCTCCATTTTTGTCGTTTTTCAGTTTTTGACATAATTTGAAAATACCTGTTCCCCCTTATATTGTGTGTAAATTTCATGAAGAATGGACCAAAAGAAACGGTGCAAAATGACTTGGAAAAAAGTCTGGTTCCATTGACTTACATTAAAAGTAAAGTATGTTTTTTCCTTCTCCTGTAAAGTTACCATTTTGAAGATACCAGGTTTTCTTCCAACAACAGTGATATTTGTATTTGAAACAAGTTTCAAACTTTTAAGCATAAGCACGATCAGGTGTGTCCTAACTTTTAACAGGCTGTATACACCACACACCTTAAAACAATTTCAAAGGCTGAAATCTATCCCTCCATTTTTGGCCCCAGTCATCATTCTATGCAAGAATTCCGTCCATTCCTCTTTTAACATATGGAGAAAAAAATAAGTCATCTAATTGCTAATCCCTTCCAGACAGGCTTTTTGGTCACTACCCGTCTTTATTAGTCAGCGCGAGTCAGCGTCCTCAGGCCATTATACCAGTACCACAGACATCAGGCCATTCCTCTACTGTACCATCGCCTGCAATTTGGAGAAGCGCGCTTTTCCGATCGAGCGGCCTGAATCTCACTTTAAACGGCACTTTAGTCTAGTTAGGAAGATTGGTGGACGAGGCTAGGAGTGCCGACGCTGGCAGCTGGCTGACTTTGAGTGCGGTATTACTCCCCATTAAGCGTCATTAAGACCCCAATTATCCTTACCACCCCTGGATCTGAATCAGCGCCGCCGACACCCCTCCGGTTCCTCCTCCAGGCCTGGAGGCCTACAGCCAGATCCTAGCATCTGCTCCCCAGGAAAGGTAGCTTGAGGCTGGGGTAGAACCGTGACCACGGAGGACCCCCCCTCCCTCCGCCACTCCTCCCCATCCCTTTAAGGCTGATAGATAAAAACTACAGCCTGTTGAACAATAGGGTTCTCCTCTACCATCTGCTTTAACTTCATCTGAAATTCACGTCGCTCGGCGGGGGGTGAGGGAACACTTAATGGAAGTGTTTTTTTGTGTTTTTGGAAACGTGACTCTGGATTATGAATTAATGTGGTCGCGGTGAATGAGTTCCTTTAGGCAGCTCGGTCTAATTAATTAATTTTTTTAAAACAGAATTGGGTGAAAACGGAGGAGAATTGCCCTGAATTTCAGCTTCATTGAGTGTCAGCAAGAGACAGAAACAGAGAGAGAGAGAGAGAGAGAGAGAGAGAGAGGGAGAAAAGGAGAGAAAGAAAGAGAAAATAGAAGAGAAAGGGAAGGTGAGAGAAAGAAAGAACAAAGGTGGGAGAGTGAGAAAAAGAAACGGAGAGATAGGAGAAAAAGGGAGACTAAAGAAGGGGGAGAAAGGGAGATAGACAAAAAGAAAGGAAATGAGAAAAAGGCAAAAGGGAGAGAGAGAGAGAGAGAGAAAAGGTGTGAGAGAGAGAAAGGGAGAGTGAGGGACAGAAAGGGAGGACAGAGAGAGAGAGAGAAAAAGACAGGAGAGAGAGGTAGGGAGAAAGGGAGAGTGAGAAGGAGAAAGAGAGGATGGGAGAGAAAAATTAAAAAAAAGAAATATATGAGAGAGAAGGAGAAAATGAGAGAGAGAGCAAAAGAGAGAGTGAGTTGCGGAGAATGAGTTGGGGACGAATAGCAAGATAGAGAATGTGAGAAATAGAAAAAGAGAGACTGCAGAGAAAGAGAGGGTGGGGAAGGAGAAAAGGAGAGAAATAAAGAAAGAGAAGAGAGAAAAATAACGAATGCAGGAGAGAGAGAAAAGAAAGGGAGAGATAGAAGGAGAAAGAGGGAAACTAAAGACGGGGGAGAAAGGGAGATAGCCAAAGAGAGAAAGATGAAAAGGAGAGAGAGAGAGAAAAGGTGAGAGAGAGAAAGGGAGAGTGAGGGACAGAAAGACAAAAAGAGAGATGAGAGAGTGAGATAGATAGAAAGAGAAAAAGAGAACAGAGAGAGAGGGAGGGAGAAAGGGAGAGAGAGAAGGAGAAAGGGAGAGTGGGAGAGAGAAAGAGAAAAAGAGAGAGTTATGACAGAGAAGGAGAAAGGGAGAGAGAGCAAGAGAGAGAGTGAGTTGTGGAGAGTGAGTTGTGGGTATGTAGTGAGAGAGAGAGTGACATAAGGAGAGAAAGAGAGAGAGAGAGAGAGACAGAGAGAAGACACAGGTGATCAGTGAAAGATAGATTGAGATAGAGGGAGAGAGACAGTGAAGGAGAAGAGAGATTGGAGTGTAATAAATATAATAACTATGTTATAACAGAGGCTGATTTTAGTATGTATTTGAATGCAGTGGAGCCATGTTGCATGTTCCTCATTAGAACCTGTGTTTTCAGTCATCTGAGCTGAGACAGACGTGCTGAAGATGTGTGTGTGTGTGTGTGTGTTTGTGTGTGTGTGTGTGTGTGTGTGTGTGTGTGTGTGTGTGCAGGTGAGAAGCCGTATAAATGCTCCTGGGAAGGCTGTGAGTGGCGTTTCGCCCGCAGCGACGAGCTGACTAGGCACTACCGCAAACACACCGGCGCCAAACCCTTCAAGTGCAACCACTGCGACAGGTAACACACACACACACAGACACACACACACACACACACACACACACACACACACGTACAGAGCGCTTTTCATACAGACTGCATGATTAGAAAACACTCTCTCTCTCTCTCTCTCTCCCTCTCCCTCATGTCTCTCTCTGCACCTGTCTGTCTCTGTCTATCAAACTCTCTAACTCGCCCGCTCACAATCCTCTCACACATAAATACAGCCTGCTCTCAGCTGGGATCCACAGCTAAACTCTACTGCTCTGATGTACTGCTCTCTCTCTCTCTCTCTCTCTCTCTCATTCTTTCACTCTTTCATCTCTCTACTCTTTCTCTTTACATCTCTGTCCTTCTTTTCTCTCTCTCTCTCCCCCGATCCCTTCCTCTCTGTATCTCTGATTGCTCTCTCTTTCTCTCTTCCGTCTCTCTCTCTCTCCCATTCTTTATATTTCTGTCCCCTTATCTCTCTCTACCTCTCCTCCTCCCTCTTTTCCTCTGACTGCTTCCACCTCTCTTGCTCTCTCTTTCTCTTCCTCCTCCTCTTTCCTCATCCCTTTTTTCTCTCCTCTCTCGCTTTCTCTTTCTCCCTCCTCCTCTTTCTTTCTCTCTGCCTCGCTCTTTCTCCCTTTCCTTTTCTAACTTTCTCTCTCTCTCTGTATCTTTCTCTTCCTCTCACCCTTCTTTCTTTTCTTTCTCACTCCCTTTTCTCCACTTTTTTCTCTCAGTCTCTCTCTCATTCTCTGTCACAGTCAGTATCCTTTTTTTTATCCCCACTCGCTCTCTCTATCTCTCTTCTCTCTCCCTCCCTCCATCTCTCTCTCTCTCTCTCTCTGTAATTCTCTCTGAAGAGCAGTGGTGGTGTTTTGCTGGGACGGATTGTTTTGGCAGCGTGTTCAGGCCCCTCGATCCCTCCAGAGCAGTTTATTCACAGTCCAGTCCTGTGATACCCATTACCAAATTACTGCACTCCTCCCCCCACCTCCCTCCCTCTCTCCCTCTCTCTCTCTCTCTCTCTCAGTTCAACTCTTTATGTATATGACTGTATTAAGTACACTGTTGTCAAAGAATTAAAGAATATTACAGTTTAAAACTGAACTTACCAGTAAAATAACAGTAACTGTGATAATATTAATAATCATAGCAATAAAATATGTAAATAATAATAATAAGCAGGCAAACAAAACATATTCATTATATACTCTCCCTCTTTACCTCTTTGTCTTTCTTTTCTTCTCTCCCTTACTATCTTAGTCTCTCTCTCTCTCTCTCTCTCTCTCTCTATATATATATATATATATATATATACACTCACCTGTCTCTCTCTTCCTCTCTCTCTCTCTTTACCTCTCTCCTTAAGTATCTCACTCTCTCTGTATACACCTGTCTCTCTATCTTTTCCTCTCTCTCTTTTTCTATATCCCTCACTATCTCACTCTCTATATGTCCACATGTCTCTCTTTCTCTTTTCCTCACTCATTCTTTTCCTCTCTCTCTCCCTCACCATCTCACTCTCTATGTAGACCTGTATCTCTCTCTCTTTTCCTCTCTCTTTACCTCTCTCTCCCTTACTATTTCATTCTCTATATATACACCTCTGTCTCTCTTTTTCTTTCTTTCTCTCTCTCACTATCTCACTCTATAGATGTCTCTCTGTCTCTCTTTTCCTCTTTCTGTGTCTCTCACTCTTTTCCTCTCTCCATCACTATCACACTCTATATACACCTGTCTCTCTCTCCCTCTCTCTGCTCTGTCCTCCGTGTCGTCTGTGTGCCGCCGACACTTTGGCTCGAAAGCGGGAGAGAAGATAAAATAAGGGCGTGTTTTTCAAAGCGTGGAAGTTATATAATGCGAATGAAAGGAACTCGGGGAAGGTGCTGGAAGATGGGCGTGACATTCTGGAGCGTTTTGGACGGAAAAACCTGGCCGCTCTCACAGCGAGGCAGGCGCAGTTACAGACGGCCTCATCCAGTGACTGCTAATGAATACAAACAGGAACTTTAAAGAGCCCATAACCACGGAAAAAAACTACATTTTCTCTGTTTTTTTAGTTTTCAGGTTTGACGTCACCATTGTTAAAGTTTCCGTTTGTTCCTCAGTCCATGTGGTATATATCGGAAAGTAAGCCTAAAACAGAAAACAGCCTATTCTGAATTGATTGTTTTTGTGATGTCACAAAACCAATGCATTTACATATACCTCCTCATTCAGCCTACATCAGTTTAGCCCCACCCATTTACTTGGCGTTTCAGGCCAGACTGCTTTTCGAATGAGGCAGCCAATCAGAACAGAAGTCATTTACATATATCAGTCTTAAAGGCGCAGTAACAAAAAAACAGCCTGTTAAATTTATAAAATGGTCATGAACAAATGAACTATGACTTGTTTTATTATAAAACACAAACACCGAAAGTGGACCTCAAGTGGAGGATGTAAAATACGAGAAAAATGTAGATTATAGACCCTTTAACCCTTGTGTGGTGTTGATGTGTTTGTTACTCAGTGGTCTGCTGGACCCACCACATTATTGTTTTAAATCAATACAGCAACAGTATATGTAAAAATACCAGTTGTTTAAAATACTACAAGTGGCCAGTGTAGGGTTCTCCTTTAGCAGCTGTAGCCAGTCAGCAGCCTGTCTATGTTGTCCACCCTCACACACACACACACACACACACACACTAACAGCAGGCCATGTAGGAGGAGAACAGAGTGAAGGACACAGCACATCCACACTTTTACTCCCCGTGGGTTCACCCAACACCACATGTGTGTGGGGGATATACAGAGTGAAGACACTGAAAATGTGTTATTTTATATGTTCTTCACAGAAAATGAGCAAAGACCAAGAAATAATAATAAATCACATAATTTCTTTCCCTTGGTAACTGTTTCAAATGGGTCCCACAGACCTGAACACCACACAAGGGTTAAGTGCATTATCAGGCTAGGTTTTCTGAAGCGCTCCAGCTTTTGTAGACAGCAGTTTAGCTAGAAAACAAGCTGAATCAGTTCAGGCAGCTTTAAATGAAAGCCGCTCAGAGCGTTATCATGCTCGGAGTGAGAGACGAGCACCTACACACACAACACAGACACAGCACATGGAAACATTGTCATTACATCCCACAGTCCTGTCAGAAACAAAGGCTCTCTTTGTCTTTAAGTGATGTGACAGTGATGGGTTTGGGGAGGACTGATTGAGCGTGTGTGTGTGTGAATGACAAAGAGAGAGAGAGAGAGTGTTTGAGAGAGAAAAGAGGAGCGAGCGAGGTTGCCGTGCGCGCGGGGGTAGCTTTGAGTGATAGCCTGTCAGGTGACAATAGCGGGATGCTGTCACTCGGCCCGGCCGCTCCGCACCAATTACACGCCGGCGTCCGCGTGTGCTCCGCTCCAGGTGGAGGCGCAATTAGCCGCCGCTCTCCAGCCGGCTGCCAGCGTGCCAACCTGCGCCCCGGCCTGTCCTCTCAAATAGCACCCGTCCACCTCCGCTCCTCCGCTCCTCCGCTCCTCTGCTCCCTCCCAACACCAACACTGCCACTTTTGTGCTTTAAGCTTAGCCAAGAGCTCCTGATTAAAGGAATAGTTTGGTAAGAAATCAAATTTCTTAAAATGTAGTTTTTCTCTAAATGTAGGTGATCAGGGAAGAGATTTTGGTGTCTGAGGTTTGCTTCTTTAGTTTTGCACTGGAGCTATAAGGCTAATGTAGCTAACAAGTAATAGAAGCTTATAGTCACCGGGTTAGCATTTTGCAAACACTGTCTCCAGTAGGCTTGCTTATGAGTTTTCTGACACTTTTGTCTATAAAAATGGGCAGAACTACAGATGAATTATCGAAATTACGGAAATTCAGGCTTCATAATGCCTGTTGATGCTGTTTTTAGCTATGCAATTTCTACTTTTATAAATAACAGGATGTCATAGAATGGCACAAACCACATAAGCAAGTTTATTTAAGACCACCTATCAACTCCACACAAACTGTATGATGATTTAGGCATGCTACCTCACTGGTTAGCTGCATTAGCCTTATAGAAACTAAAGTGTATGATGATTTAGGCATTGCTAACTCACTGGTTAGCTGCATTAGCCTTACAGAAACTAAGGAAGCAAAATTTAGACGTGTGCTGATTTGGGGTAAAGCTAAGAGGGGAGTATTCCAACATCATTACTAAATGCAAAACACCATTGATCTCATAAGAAAAAAGGGAAAAGGGGGAGGTTGGGGTTGGGGTGGCATGTGGATCCAGAATGTAGCGTTTCTAATTGACTCTGCACTATGCCAAGGTTTTGACAGAGCTGCTTCTGGAACTTAAGACCCAGTCCCCCTCCTCAGCCCCCCATCAGCCCCTGGGGATTTTTTAAATTGGACCCTCCTGGTTCCTGTATTTTTGAATTGGGCTTAGTATTAACCCCTGTGGAACCTCTCTCGAGTGGACTAATCCGTTTGGAGTGAAAGCCACAAAGTACATTTGCTGGCGGACGCATCCACATTCATTTAGCGCTGGAGGTGTTTCTGTTTGTTTTGATAGACGTGACCAACACAGAGAGCTTCCTTTAATAGCACTGATCTCAGTTCAGCTTTACAATGTTTACCAAAAATGGTAAATAAAGATAAAGATGATGGCACTATGTTCCTGTCGCCTGTCAATATCAAGACAAGTGCTACTACCACTGATCTGTGTTCTGATTGGCTGACCTGTATTGAACGTTCCAAAAGCAGCACTCCTTATAACGTCAGTGTGAGTGGGCGGGGCTAAACTGCAGTAGGCTAAATAGGCAGATATATGTAAATGTGTGACATCACAACAGTGAATTCAAAATGGGCTGTTAATTTCCATATTCGGGCCACATATAATGGAATGAATGTACGTTTTGGCACATACTACAGTCGTGTGCAAAAGTTTGGGCACCCCTAGTCAAAATTGCATGTTTTGTGAAAATAAAGTGTACGCTCATTTTAATGCACAATTACAATTTAATTTCCTGAATGTAATATTTTTGGGGGAAAATGAAACAAA